ACCCAGGCACCCCGACACATAGGTTATTTCTAAATGTTTTGTCATTATTAGAGAACATAGTAATTGGAGATTATAGTGAATTTTTTTTTAAGATTTTATTTTTTAAGTAATCTATATACCCATTGTTGGGCTCAAACTCACAACCCCAAGTTCAAGAGTTGCATGCTCTTCTGACTGAGCCAGCCAGGCGCTGCATGTCACTGATCTAAATTAAACACCAATCCCAAACTCAGAGCTGGTGAGGCAACGTGGTGTAGAGAAAAGATTAGAAGAAAATAATTTAACCATTCTGGGTATTAGCTTTCCTCACCTGTAAAATGAGTAAAAGGCTTCAAAGATCCAGTCCATTCCTTAACATATAGTTAAGTCTAGCTTTCCTAGTTTGCCCACAGACCTCAGATGCTAAGAAGCCCTAGTTACTTCCTTGTTAACAGATCTGTGGCTTAACTATCAGAAAACAATGCCAATTCTGTCCCAGCCCTCCCAGAAAATATGGGAAACACGTCTTACCTTGCTTTACTTCTTCTGGGGCCATGGAGTCCCCTACCTCAAAATCAGAGCTGATCCTCTTCCTGAGGAAACGTAAATACAGCTCACTGCGGGCATTCATTAGGGTGACCTCAGTCAGGATAGGGTCCAGTTCCCTGAAATACATGGAGCAGAAGGAATAAGCAGGAAGACACTGGATTCCCTTAGATTTAAGAGATACAGGGCAAAGAGTCCCAAACTCCCTCTTCTACTGGGCCCAGAAGGGTTAGCTCTGCCAGATGGTCATCCTGGTCTGCTGGCCCAATTATAATCAGAGACAGCTGTCAACCACATATTCCACTTACCCGTTTCACCTGAACCATTCACCTACAAAAATGCTGTCAGGGCTAAATAAGAGACTGGGAGGTATATTTTTGTCAGTGGTTTGAATAAAAATGATCTATGCCTCACATGAAAGGAACCACAACTTCCCATCCTCTTATTTAGCTGTGGTGGGATTTTAGGCTAAACCATTAAGCTGTGTCCCACACCCATTCACCTACCCAGATGAAGAGCCAAAACAATCTTTTTTTTTCCTTTTAATGTTTATTTTTGAGAAAGAGAGAGTATGAGTGGGGGAGGGGCAGAGAGAGGGAGACACAGAATCTGAAGCAGGCTCCAGGCTCTGAGCTGTCAGCACAGAGCCTAATGCAGGGCTTGAACTCACAAACCATGAAATTATGACCTGAACCGAAGTCAGACTCTTAAC